TGCACGTGGGCAGGGTAGGACCCTAGCACAATGGGATTCTTAAGTGCTTCACCTTTTTTAGAAGAATAAAAATCTCCACCGCGAGCGTTTATGCGCAGTACGAAACGGGCACAACCAGCTCGCGTTAGCAGGATTGCCCAACTTGGAAATCATATAACCCAAACAACATCTTTAGCACCAAAAATGATGAGCAGGCGAATCAGCATTATTCTTTGTCGTTTTCGATCATTGCTACTCACAATGCTCGCATAAGCAACCCCTATCATCTTCATAGAAATTGTCGTCTGACAATATAATTTCGGCAACAAACCAGTAATGTGTTTTTAACACGCAGGCAGCAACGGTACGGTACACGGTTCGGTACGGTACACATACGTCTATTAGCGTAGTGCACCTCACACACTAGTCCGGATAACACATCGTGCTGACAGTGTCGGTGGAGCTGCAAGACTTCAGTCCGATGAATAACACCCATGCATTGCCGTGAGATGTTACTATCATGTGCGGACGGACTGCAGTAGCGCCCTCTTCAAGTAGTGCACCTCTTGCATAATTGGAATTGGCGAGACCTAAAACGGCTTCGACATCCAGACATAGTCTACCGAGATAATATGCCAGTAGAAATCCTAAGGAAACGGACCACGCCGCGGAATTCGAAGGACTGAAGCAAAGCCAGCGTGTTCGGTACGGCACATATACGTCCATTACCGTATATTGTGCTGTACCGGAACATCCAAACCGTACCAAACTGACATCCAAAGACATGCTCTACTGAGAGAATATGCTAACAACAATGCCAAAGTAATAAGCCAAGCCCCGGGAAACCGAAGGCCGAAGTAAATCCCACGTTTTCAGTACGGTACATGTGCTGTAATTGGCGCAGTGCACCGCATACACGGGTCCGGATAATGCAATTCACACTTGCTAGAAATAAATACGTCGTGCGGACAATGTCGGTTCAGTTACAACACTTCGGTTCAATGAATAAAACCCATGCATTGTCGTGAGATGTTGCCATCATGTGCGGACGAACTGCAGTAGCACCCTCTTAAAGTAGTGCACCTCTTGTATAATACCGATTGGCGAGACCTAAAAACCGCTCTGATGTGCAAAGACATACCCTGCCGAGATAATATGCCGACACGAACCCCAAGGAAAGAAGCCAACCCTGGAAAGCGAGGACCGAAGGAAAGGCAACGCTTTCGGTACGGTACATATACGTTTATTCGTACGGGGCACCTGAAACAAGAGTCCTTATCATGCCATTCACACTAAGTAGAAATAAACACATTGTGCCGACAATGTCGGTTGAGCTGCAATACTTTGGTTCCATGAATAAGACCTCATGCGCTGTCGTGAGATGTCACCATCAGTGAGCGGATGGACTGCAGTAGCACCTTAAAGTAGTGCACCTTTTTATAACTCCAATCGGCGAGACCTAAAAACCGCTTTGACATCCAAAGATATACTCTACCGAAATATTGTGTCAACAGCAATTCCAAGGTAGGGGGGGGCGGACCAAGCCCCGGAAACCGAAGGCCGAAGCGAGACCAACGTTTTCGGTACGTTACATACATGTTTATAAGCGCAGCGCACCTTATACATGAGAGTACTATCTCTGTAGAGAATGTTCTTGGATGCCAGAGGCGCTTTCAGGTTTCGCCAACTGGCATCACGCAAGAGGTACACTACTTTAAGGGGCTGCTTCTATCGGTCAGTCCGCGCAACATGATGGTGATATCTCACGGCAATGCTGAGTCTTGTTCATTGAACCGAGTACGACATTGTCGCCACGACGTGTTTACTTCTAGTAAGTGTGAATCGAACTATAAGGACTGGTGTTCTCAAGTGCTGGGCGCCAATAAACGTATATGTGCCGTACCGAAACGCCGACTTTGCTTCGTTTTCGGTTTGCGTGGCTTGGCCTATTTACTTTGGGGTTGCTGTCGGCATATTATCTCGGTGGAGCCTGTATTTGGATGTCAGAGCGGTTTTTAGGCCTCGCCAATTGGAATTATGTTAAGAGGTGTCACTACTTGAAGAGGGTGCTACTGCAGTTCGTCGCACATGATGTTAACAATCTCACGGCAAAGCATGAGCCTTATTCATGGACTGAAGTTATGCAGTTCCACCGACATTGTCAGCACGGTAGTGTTAAGTTCCAATAAGTGTGAATCGCATTATCCGGACATCGTATGTGAGGTGCGCTACGCTAATAGACGTATATGTACCGTACCGAAAACGCTTGGCCTTGCTCAGTCTTATTTTCCCGGGGCTTGGTTCCGTTTCTTTAGGATTGCTGTTGGCCTATTATCTCGGCAGAGTATATCTCTGGATGTCAGAGCGATTTCAGGCCTCGCTCGTTGGAATTGTACAAGAGGTGCACTACTTTAAGAGGGTGCTACGACAGTTCCCTCCGCACGACATGGTGGCGGCATCTCACGGCAACGGAGTATTCATATTAATTGAACCCAAGTGTTATAGCTTAAGCGACATTGTCCGTCACGATCTGTTTGGTTCTAATGAGTGCGAATCGCATTATCCGGACTCGTGTATGAGGGTGTACTAATAGACGTTAATGTACCGCGCCGAAAACGTTGGCTTGGCTTCAGTGTTGAGTTCCCGTGACTTGGTCCGTTTTTTTTAATATCTGCTGGAAATGCTTCGGTTCAAACCGACATTGTTGGCTCTTTTTCTGTGTTGTCCGTTTGGAAATGTCAATTTAAGTTTCACAACTGGAAATGAATTAGGAGTGCAATAATAAAGTCAAAAGTAGAAAGAAGTGCAATGATAAGGTAAGAGTGTAGGAGCCTTTCTGGTCCTGCGCGCGATGAGCCGTAAGTTATCAAATATTTGATAAAAGTTTTCAAAATTATGTTACGCCACGAAGGCTCAGCGCACCAACAGATAATTCGAGACACGAATGTGCAGAACTGGGATACTATTCTCGGTTTCTCGTGTCCGCGATTTGGTGCTTATATTGCCCTTTAAGTATGTGTTATAAATCGTCTGCTGTCTGCATGTTAAAAAATCACATTACTGGTTTGTTTGCCGAAATTATAATAGTGTCAGATGGTAATTTCTTGAAGATGATAGGCGCTCGTGCGAGCATTGTGAGTAGCAATGGTCGAAACGACGAAATAAATAATGTCCAATTGCTTACGCATCATTTTTGGTGCTAAAGATGTTGTTTAGGTTTTATGATTTCCAAGTTGGGCAATTCTGCTAACGCGAGCTGGTTGTGCCCATTTCGTTGCTGCGCGTAAAACGCTCGCGGTGGAGATTTTTCTTCTTCTAAAAAGGTGAAGTACTTGAAGAATTCCGCACAAATGGGCGAGGGCTACTTCACTCGCGAGGGATGCGAGAATCAGACGTGCGGCGTCGGCGTTCACTAACCTATCATAACGACTCAGACATGCGCGTGATCGCCCTCGCTGTCAGAAGTGTGGACACGGCAGGGACTAAACGGCAGGGACTGATCGACCAACGTCATGTGTAGTATGCGCCATGCTTACGAGGCGTGCGCAACGTACATACGCACACATGCCATCAGCAACATGTAAGGAAATCCTGACGTCAAGATCCGCATATTATGTGCTTGGCATGTATCGGTTTAATACTTGCCGTTCCAATGTCATTGCATAAATTTAGCACTTAGGTCGCCCTGTGTGACAGCCATCCCAGGGCCCCCGTTCTTGATGGGGAAATGCTTCCAGATGCTCCGCCTTTTCAGGTAACAACCTGTGACGTTCCCACAGCTACGTCATCTACGCCACGGGGAACGCTTTAAGTAGCTCCTAAACATGGCGGCTGGTAAATCAGCGGTGCAGGGTATACATTGGTACCTAATGTTGGAAGAAATCATTGCACGTCATTCGTCATGTGTAATGGCGGAACATCGTATATAATCGTAAAACAGGTAGATTGATGCTCCTACCTTCGAATTTTAATAACTAC